AGCAAATTCTGACAGTGCATACTGCTTATTAGACAGTTCATTTCTTTTTGCAGTATTTTCCCTGGCTGGTTATCTATATTCACCCACCCTAAGGCTGTAATACCAAAACATTTTAGAAAACTTCAGATGCAAGCCCGTGCCACCACTCTTGAGGAGGTAGGAGAACTGTGAATTTAAAGCAATGTGATCAGTTCTGTAGGGTAAGTCGCTGACTCAAAACCAACCAAACAAGCTGGACATGATGGCAAGCACTTTTAATCCATGCAGTCCTGAGACAGAGAAGGAAGACCTTGATTTGGAGGCTACCATGGTTCAGAAAACTAGTTCATGGACAGACAATTCTAAAGAAATCGTGTCTCAAAACAAAACAAAACAAAACAAGCTGGTAAACAAAGAAATCTCTTTAGTGAAAAAGAAAAAGCAAAACCTTAATACATTATTATGCCATTCTGGAATGAGCCTATTACATTTTGGGATTTCACTGCATTGTAAAAAACAATTTTCTATAGATAATCCCTATCCTATGTGCTTTAAAGAATAGAAGCAACCTTGACAGAATGCTGCCTCAGTTTCTTGTTGGGACACTGAGAGGAATTGCTTGACTTATGTCCTTCAGCAAGAATCTTATCAGCAGTTGGCTTGTTCACAGGATGTGTTGCCTAGAATGTCGTATTCTACGACAACAACAGCAAATAAGTTAAGACAGTGCTCTTCTTTGGGTTGTAAAAGCAAGCATTTTCTTGAATAAGACACATAACAGGAAGCAGTTGTCCACTTTTACTCCCAGCACTTGGAGCCTGAAGCTGGCTGATCCCTGACTAAAAACCACCCAGGAAACAGAGTTAACTATAGGACAGCCATGACCACACAGGGAACACTGTTTCAAAATCCAAAAGGAGAAGAAGGTCAGCCTAGCTAAATAAGTAAAGGCAACTGATGGCTGCCAGGCCATAGAGAGTCATTTTTCTTCAGCAGCATAGCCACTAGTAGGTTTCCCAAGGTGGCAAAGATGGCCACAGGCATGTGAAGGTCACTGAGCTCAGTGGGTTAGGAATAAGTGAAAGACATAGAAACACACACGAGAATGAGTTAGGTTTTGGGTTGTAAGGGGTAGATACAATTTATATATATCATGTAGGAAATCACCAATAACATGTTTAAAGTTTTTTGCTTTTTAAATAAGAAAACATTAAAAATGTATATTTGCAGGTCTAAAATAGTGGAAAGTATGTCTAATGCTGGCCATGAAAAACTGGAGGGTATGTGCAAAAGTAAATACTTATCAGTGGTGGTAGCATAAAAAGCTAAGCTTAAAAGCTAATCAGTGTGAGCCCGCCTGAGAAAGAAATAACTGGAAATACCATCTTATTAAGATACCCACCCCTCTCTGGACTTATACTGATAAAACTCCAAAGACTACAACAAATATATGCACCCATGTTCATTGCGGCTGTAGTTCCAAAAGCTAGAAAAAGACTCAAAGCCTGGATCTACATCAGCTGATGTCCACATGATGGAGATACAGCACATGAAAGCGATTTGCTCTCAGCAACAAAGAAAACTGAAATGGAACTTGCATCATTGGATGTAACTGGGAAATGTAATCATATTGAGTCGTGTAACCTAAGGTCACAAAGTCAAACACTGTTAAATCTCTGATACCGGGATGCCATCTTTCACCTTTTGCCCTTTTGTTTCAAAACCAGAGTGAGCAGATAAACAAAACAGGGAGAAGAAATGACCCAAGGGACCTGTAGGTGTTAAGGAATGGATGTACAGGGACAGTAGAACACATGTGCCATCTAAGTAGAGAGGTGAATGTACTTAGAGGTGGAATGTATACAATAAGAATGGGAAAGAGAATACAGGGGATGGTTGGATTATCATGGTTCAGGGTTTCCTCAACACCACTGTGATTTCCATGTCCCTATATCAAAAACAAAGCATAAACAAAAATCTGGCCATGGTCATGGGAACCTTCAATCTTAGAATTCATGAGGCAAGGAGGGTGATGTCCGAGTCCTAGGCTAGCTAACTAAATACAACAAGTTCTAAGGTTACATGAGAAAACTTGTCATCAAAACAATAAAAATGTAATAGATATGAAATGTATATTAAAATCAAAATAACTATACACACAAGCAATAAATTCATTATGAATGTATTGTATACTCATGTCCATTTTCAAATAAAAACTATTATCACCACATCTTTCCTAGGTTTTTTAAATAGTCAGAAGGCCTGCAGTCAGCAAAAACACACAGTCGCCAAAACACATCCTCAGAAGGATTCCCTCAGGTAAGCCAAAGTTTACCAAGGTTTTCTGGAAAGGGCACTGTGACTCTCTGTACTACTCATTGGAGAGTTCATTCCTTTTAGTAATATTGTCCCTGATTGGTCAGCACTACTCACTCCGCCCTCTTAGTCTAAGGCTTCTAAAACTTTAAAGGAAGTACCAGGTTCAAGCCTTTGATGGAAGGCAGACCTCTGTGAAATTAAAGTCATTCAGGGATGGACGGTGAGACCCTGACTCAAAACCAAACGAACATTCCAGACACGGTGCAAGGAAGTCAGTAATTTTAGGGTCGCCAGAGCACTAGGTCCAGGACAGCCAATAGAGCACAGGCTAAAGGAAAGAGAGGTAATGTTGGCATTTTTCCAATGAAATTATGGCCTACAGAATTGACAGTTCCAATCCCTTCTGCTTAAAGCAGCCTACAACCAACCAAGCAGCAGAAAGAAATATATTACCTTTCCATGAAGCTATGTGACAGTCTCGAAGGCCTTTTCAATTCTATCACTTATATCTAGGAAATTCCCTATATGAAACATATTTAAAAGGATGCCTTGGGCTTTAATGACTAAAGAATAAAAGAGAGGTCTGAAGGTCTAGACAGCTAAGCAGTTGGGAATGTGCCATGGACACCTGAGAATCTCACATCATGATCAGGAAGAGTGAAAAAGGGAACAATGACCGCTGACTGGAGTTTGAATCGCTGCAATTAGGAAACAAATCCATGTGAACTTGTCTCAAAGTGGAAAACAGACACGCTGTTCCTCCAGTTATAAAAAAAGTCCACACGCCGGGCGTTGGTGGCGCACGCCTTTAATCCCAGCACTCGGGAGGCAGAGGCAGGCGGATCTCTGTGAGTTCGAGGCCAGCCTGGTCTACAGAGCGAGTTCCAGGACAGCCTCCAAAGCCACAGAGAAACCCTGTCTCGAAAAACCAAAAAAAAAAAAAAAAGTCCACACACTACACTCATGGTCACTGCTGCTCTAGTCCAATAGTTAAAATAATCAGCCTGGATGCTCCTCGGCTGATGTCCGGATGATATAGATGTGGCAAATATGCACATGAGAATCCACGCAGCAATGAAGAAAACTGAAGGGAAGATTTCAGTCAGATGGATGGACTGGAAATTAATCATACAGAGACAGTAGATTCAAGGCCAGTAAGCAGGGATTGTGTTGCAAGGATTTAACCCAAGAATGCATGAGGCAGGAGAGGGTCATCTCTGAGTCCAGGTCTAGCCTGGTCAAAGGCTTTCCAGGCATGCACAGAGAAAAACTGTCACTAAATATTAAAAAAACCAGCAAACAAACTATCAAAGGAAGAAACAATGCTATATTAACAAATTAAAATGAAAATTTAACTACCAACAAGAGTAGTAAACATAAATATTTCTTCAATCAAGTCAAAAATTACACTGTCTATCAAAATCCATCTATCTGGAGGTAAAAGGAGACAGATGAAATATTAATATTTTCCTCAAATGCTAAAATACTATAAAGTGCTTTTTACAGAATTTGCATTCCCAATCCTTCTGTCTGAAGCAGCCTACAGCCAAACAAGCAGCAACAACAAAAACACTGCCAATTCCATGAAGCTCTTTGCCCGTCGCGCCGGCCTTTCACATTCTGCAACTTTTCAAAATTCTAACTGGGGGCTCAAAAGAAAAAACAAATAACAATGCAAACAAAGGGTGAAGCAAATTTAAATTTCTCTCTTTTCTAGACTTGTAGTTTTGAACAACTGCTGTCAGTAGACCTAGAAAAAAATTCTTCCACAATTATACTAACAAAAAATAATAATAATAAAGGAGGAAAAACAAAGATGTGGTTATAAGGCTTACAGACACAGCTCTGAGTAAACTCCACTAACACCAGGAAGCTTGGGGATCAAATCTGAGGGAGACCAGATTGGGGGGGGGGGGGATGCAGCACAGAGGAAAGAGCTCCAAGGAGACGATGAAAAAGCTGAATCAGCCCAAACTGAGGCACAAAGGGGGAAGGGAAACTAAGGAAAATGCAGGAACACACAGAGGACAGTATGGACTCAGCATCGCCAGCCGCCATTGCTGGGAAATCTGAGTAGGCAAAGATTCAAGGGAAGGACTAAACCAATGTGACTGGGAATTCCCTGGAAGCAGTGTCATCAGGACAGAAAAGTGAGGACAAGGGCTCAAGGCTGCCGCCTGTGGGGTGCTCACTTCAACAGAACGTGGGCTCAGGCAAGCCTGGGCCAGACCCCACCTTCCCCTGGAATGCACAGCTCCAGGGGAAAATGCAGCTGCTGGTGCTGCAAAGGAGCTCATGTCCCAAACCCACTGTTGTTAAAATGTTTAGGTTTATCCAGTAAGGAGACACAGACCGTTACTCAACGATCCCATGTGGAGTTTATTGGTGGACGGGGAGGGAAAAGGGGGGTAAGAGGTAACCAACCCGTGCAGAGCAGAGAGAGAGAGAAATAAGATATGAGAGAGAGAGAGACAGAGAGAGAGAGGGTAAGAGTGTAAGAGGGAAAGAGAGTAAGAGCAAGAGAGCGTAAGGGCAGGGGTCAATCCTTTAAAGGGGTCCTTTGCACCTGCGTGGTTCTCACGGAACTCTGGGCTGGCCAAAGTGTTGCTTGAGTGCATCCTGCCAGGTAACAGGGCAGGCCAGCGCAATGCCTGAACCTTTCACCCACCTCTCAGGATTCCAGCAGCCCAAGGCACACTCACCATTTCCTGCTTCTGATGTGTCTAGGAGTCTCCCAATGAGGCCTGCCGTCAGCAAAAACACAGCTAAACAGGTCTTCACTTTACAAAGCTTTTCTAGGAAGAACACTGAGCCTATCTGTGCGTCTCATTGGACAGTTCACTCCTTTTAGTAATGTTGTCCCTGATTGGCCAGCACTACTCACACCGCCCCCTCAGTCTAGAACTTCTAAAACTTTTAGGAAGTACCAGGTTGAAGCCTTTCATGGAAGGCAGACCTCTGTGAAAGTAGTCATTCAGGTATGGATGGTGAGACCCTGACTCAAAACCCATGGAACTTTCCAGACACGGTGGCAGGATTTTTTTTTTTTTGGTGTTTTTTTTTTTTTTTTTTTTTTGGTTTTTCGAGACAGGGTTTCTCTGTGGCTTTGGAGCTGTCCTGGAACTCGCTCTGTATACCAGGCTGGTCTCAAACTAGCAGAGATCCACCCGCCTCTGCCTCCCGAGTGCTGGGATTAAAGGCATGTGTCACCAACCCAGCAATAGCAGGAATTTTTAACTGCAGAGATCCTGATGCATGAGCAAGGAAGTCAGTAATTTTGAGGGTTACCAAAGCCAGAGTACCAGGTTCAGGACAGCCAATAGAACACAAAGAATCCTTGTCTCGAAATCAAAATGAGGAAGCAATCAAACAAAAATAAGAAAAACAAAAACCGAAAGAAACAAGGAATAAATTAAAAGAAAACCCACCTTAACATATTGTGCTATGGGATGAACTTATGCCATTTTGGAATTTAATTGCTTGGGAAGAACGGGCTCTGGGATTACTCGCTCACTTCCTCCCACAGGCAGTATTATTCCCCACCTGCCTTTTCCTTAAGTTATCCCTGAAATTTGTTCCATGCATTTCAATATCTTTCCCAGAGAGAGACCCAGGCCTCTGCATAACTGCCAGGATAGCACGAAGACCAGACTGAATGCAGCCCACCACCCCACCACCCTTAGTGGCATGGGACAGCCCCTGACCTTAGCACTAGTTACAGGAAAAACTGAACACTTCACCTACAGAGATTAGTCAATCACAAATGGGCAAACAACTCCAGGTGTCCTTCATTTGAGACTAAAATGTCACAACTTCCCTGGTTTCAAAACAAAGAATCAGATCAGTCTAGATACCCATAATCTGTGTTTGAGCCAATCCCAATCTGTATCTTTGAGTTGTGGAATTCTCCAAGCTCCTCCTTGTCTACCTCCTATAAAAGCCCCCACCTGAAGCTGCTCAGTGTCTTTTTTTTTTTTTTTTTTTTTTTTTTTTTTGGTTTTTTTCGAGACAGGGTTTCTCTGTGGCTTTGGAGGCTGTCCTGGAACTCGCTTGGTAGTCCAGGCTGGTTTCGAACTCACAGAGATCCGCCTGCCTCTGCCTCCCGAGTGCAGCCCGGCCCAGCTGCTCAGTGTCTTACCTGCCCTGCTGCTGCCACTTCAGACTGACAGAGGCCCAAGTTAACTCAAATAAAGACTCTGCTTTTGCATTAGATTTGGTCTATTGGTGTGGACATTGGACACAATATTTGGGGACTTGCCCAGCATCCCCAAGGCCACCTTGACACCATCCACTGTGTCTTGAGATGGCAACTGACAGGTGACTTTCTGAATCCCAACTCTTGGGTGGCAGAGGCAGGTGGATCTCTGTGAGTTCGAGACCAGCCTGGTCTACAGAGTGAGTTCCAGCACAGCCTCCAAAAATATACAAGGAAATCCTGTCTCTAAAAAACCAAAAAAACAAAAACCACAAGTAACATGCTGTAAAGGTGGCTCAGTGGTTAAGAGAAGTCTCTGCTTCTTCCAGAGGTTCTGAATTCAATTCATACATAATGAAATCTGAAGCCTTCTTTTGGCATGCATGCATACATGCAAGCAGAGAAAGGTTATACATAGTAAGTAAATCTGTTTTTAAAAAAAGAAACAATTTTTTTCATAGGTTTGTAATGAAAATTTCTTTGGACTGGCTTTAGTTCCTCTGAAAGCCTTAAGGTGTTTATGAGTTTCTTTTCTGCAGCTGCAACCAAACACAATGAGCAAAGCTACTTTGGAATGGAAGTGTTACATTGGTCTTACGTTCACAGGGTTTCTCCTGAGGAGAACTTTCAAGTACCTGATGTAATTCAGAATGATGGACATCTTTCCAATGCTCCTGATGTGTAAAAGCTTTTGCCACAGCTTTCCTACACACAAATGATATCCCTGTAGTTTGTTCTCTGAGATACCCAAGTGAGGATGAATGACCAATGATGTTTCCTACACGTAATGGGCTTTCACATACTCTTTCTCCAGGATGCATGTCTTTTTTGTTGTTGTTGTTGTTTTGTTTTACCAGACAGGGTTTCTCTGTATTGTTTTGGAGGTTGTCGGTCCAGCCTGGCCTCGAACTCACAGAGATCCTCCTGCTTCTGCCTCCCGAGTGCTGGGATTAAAGGCGTGCGTCACCACCGCCCAGCAAGGATGCATGTCTTTATTGATGATATTCTCTGTAATAGGTTCCTGGTTTGTATACTAATGGTCACATGTATATCCATAGTCTTTCTCAATGGCTTGAGTTCTGCAAAAAATGAGAAAAGAATTACTGTAGCCAAGGGAAATGGTGGAGGCTGGCTTGTATACTATCCCAGAGGGAACAGAAGAACACAGTCACTGTGAAGGACAATGTGGACCACATGTAAAGACCCTGTCAAATGTAGAGAAGTAGACGGTTGACTTTACTACTATTAGAAATATTTAGGAGCCGGGCGTTGGTGGTGCACGCCTTTAATCCCAGCACTCGGGAGGCAGAGGCTGGCGGATCTCTGTGAGTTCGAGGCCAGCCTGGTCTACAGAGTGAGTTCCAGGACAGCCTCCAAAACAATACAGAGAAACCCTGTCTCGAAAAACCAAAAAAAAAAAAAAAAAAAAAAGAAATATTTAGGAGTTGTGTCACAGATTTTGGGATTAAAAAAATTTTGTTCTTTGGTGGTGCAGATTTTGATGACCAGCACTCATGTGGAAGGCACGCCAGTTCCCGTTACTCATGGTCTGAAGGATATTTTCCCTTCTTCTGCCTTTTAGAAAAGTTTTTAGCCTAAGAGTTGTATGCAAACACAGATACATATGTATAGGTACAAAACAATATTAAAAAGGATAGAACATGAAGACAAAATTTCTGGGGTTAGCAGACAATCATTAAAATCAAATAAAGTAGTAAACACTGTAGCAAGAGTTTTGACATTCAGAATTCTAAGGCAATGTTGATTCCTAAGTTACCAACTCCATATATCTAGGGCCATCAGAGGATGGGCTCCCTCAAAGGAGAAAATGACTCAGATTGGCTTGTCAATAAATCCAGGGAGCATTCTTTTACGTTCCTGATTGATGAAGGATGCTCAAAATATGATGTGCATTGTGGCCATGGGCAAGAGGACACAAGCTGTGTAGGAAAGGTACCTGCGAATTACTTTATTCAAAGTAACACAAACAGGGACACACATCTGAGAAAAGGGACCCAGAAAGGAGTGAATGGCGTTGTCAGATGGACTTTTAGGTTTGCCTGCGAGGGCATTTTCTTGATCAGCCCACTCTGGGTGGCATTCCCATAGACAGGTGGAAAAGGGTTGTATAAGGCAGGGAGCTGAGTAACGGATGAGGAACACTCTGATAAACAGCATTTCCCCAACACCTCTGCTTCCTGGTTCTGCCTACAGGTTCTTACCTGCCCTGACTTCCCTTTATGATGGGAATGAAACTAGAATGTTAAAGGAAAAATTAGCTCTACCCCAAAGTTGTTTTGTTTTATTGTCATAGCAAATGAAAGAAAAAAGTCTCAAAATGATGTATAGAAAGACGGCAAATACTTTTGAAGTTTGTGTGTAATAAACCACTGGTAAAGCTTTCAGAGGTTAATGCTACATGACACATGTGTGATCTTCATATGTTACAAACTTGAGATACTCAAATACTAAGTGGCAGAATTCAGTGCTCTATTAGAGAACTTTGGGTAGAGATCATTATTCTATTAGTTGTGTTTAGATAGTTTGGTAGGCTCTCAGTTGTACAAATATTTGCAAATATGTGAGATCACTTCATTTCTTTTGAATCTGAACTACCGTATGTATCTGCTGAGGTCTTTGTAGTCCTCTCCTATATTTTATTCTACTGTTTTTTCAAGAAGAAAATCCAGAGCCGGGCGTTGGTGGCGCATGCCTTTAATCCCAGCACTCGGGAGGCAGAGGCAGGCGGATCTCTGTGAGTTCGAGACCAGCCTGGACTACCAAGCGAGTTCCAGGACAGCCTCCAAAGCCACAGAGAAACCCTGTCTCGAAAAACCAAAAAAAAAAAAAAAAAAAAAAGAAAAAAAGAAAAGAAAAGAAAATCCAGAGAATATAGTATGACATATTCATATTCAACATAAAGAGTATTATAACATAGTACTTTTGACAAGGGTTTGCACACTATATTTACTACATATTCCCTTCAAGAATTCAAATACCAACAGTACACACATATGTAAGACATGGATGTTCTCTAACTAAATGAACAATGGGAACATGCTGGGATTTTACCTATGGAGAGCAGGTTCAAATACGTCTCCTTCATCACATCTCTGTAGAGCTTCTTGTGACTGCAATTCAACAAAGCTCACTCTCCTGAGGTGAGGTTCACAGCCACATCCTCAGGAGTACATATTTTAGGATAGTTACATTTAACTGAAGACTGACAGGACACAGAATCATCTAGCTTATAATTTCCTGAAAACACCACTAAATTATCATGTAAATAGAAGTGACTGAAGAGTATCTGTGGGGTGCTATCTTGATTACTTGATGGAATAAAGGAGACACTTTTTCACAATTACTACTCAACTATCCTTAGGAACCATCATGACCAAGAAACTATTATAAAGTAAAAATCTTAGGGGACATTGCTTACTCTTTTAGAGGATTAGTCAATGATTTTCATGGTGGGAAGCAGACAGGCATAGACTTGGAACATATTCAAAGCAATACATACTCCAACTTCAGAGGCAACATTTTGTGAACCCTGTAGGAGTTACTCTAGTTGAAGATAAGACCTAAGACAGACACAACTACTCATTACTCTCTTCCCAATTGTGTGTACTGTGACAAGCAGCTTCACAATTCTGCATTGTGAATGGTACACACCCTTCAGTTGTGATATGAAATAAACTCCTTCTGCCTACAGTCACTTTTCCGGGTCATTCATGACAGTCAGAATGAAGGGACAATGACAAGGACCTAAATGTAAAAATGAACTCCACTGCAGGATTTTATAACATAAAAGAAAGCAAACAAAGCACAGCATTTATGTTCAAAGCCTCAAAAGGATGGACAGAAAGACAGGAAATATGTTTTTGGCTATGAAGAGAACTTTTGGTGTAATATCCTCTAGAAAATCTCTATCAGAGATAAATGTGGCATTGGTGATAGTCACAGAGTGTACAGATAAGACTCAAAAGGATCCATATGCAGACAGACATATTCGGATCAGTTGGCAAGTTCTCAGTCATTCTACCACTCCCATTTGCTTGAAGAAAATTGCTTTCCATTTCCTTAAGTTACCCAGATTTTTCTGAGATATTTATAGTACTCTTCAAAATTTTCTTTTGTTTCTCTACAAACAATCCCAAAGAATTCTTTTGCCATGTTTAACATCTCAAAAAATATTGTAACCCAGCTATGACATGGGTATGTATACTAAATTCACATTTTCATTCCAGATTCTAAATCACTCTGGTACACACAGAAGCAGGAAAGACTTGATATTTATGACTTGATAATTATCTCTGGAAGGGCAAGAGCCACTAAGAAAGTCATGCTCATGTTTGTTCCATAAATATAGCTTTCTAATTGTACTCAGGTGTCAGTAAGAATGGTGGGGGATGATGTGTTGGATTATGAAAAACAAAAAGAATCATCTGGAGACAATAGAAAAGAACGTGTTGAACACTGAAGAATATGGAGAAAGTATCTAATGCTGGACCGGATGAAAAGGGAATCTTAGGTCTTAACCATTGAGAATCAGCAGCACCAAAAGAAAACTCAGTAAACCAGAGCATGAGAAGTGATGTAACTCCTGACAGATTTAGGAGAATCCATCTAAAAAGATCAATATAGAGCATATCTTGGCTTTATACTTGGAGTGACTGATTATCCTACATGCTCTGTTAATACAATGTACAGTGTTACATTGATTGGAAAGATTGGTTGAGGCCTCAATTATACCTCATTCAAAGTCTAGATAGCCTTGTTGTCTGATACGTATAATTTCCATTTTTGGTTATACTTTCCTGCTGTGGATGGTCAAACTATCACCATCACTGTGTGTTTTGTTTTTGTTAAACTTACTGTGGAAAATGTTATTTGTTGTATTTAGCAAATGACATTCAGGCCAATTTTGACTCCAAGTCCTTGAGTTTGGGTATTCGGGAGGAGTCCATAGCTCCTTTAACCTTAACAGTGGTTGGCCGGGCATTGGTGGCCCACACCTTTAATCCCAGCAATCAGGAGGCAGAAGCAGGTGGACCTCTGTGAACTCGAGGCAAGCCTGGTCTACAGAGCGAGTTCCAGGACAGCCTCCAAAGAATACAGAGAAGCCCTGTCTCGAAAAAGGAAAAAACCCTTAACAGTGGTTTTGCCTACTGAGAAGAGTCAGCGTACTTGAGGATCACATAACTTCTCTAGAGGAACACGGATGACATTTTCTGTTTATAGTACAGTGTGTACTCTGCTTAGAACCAATCTCTGGTCCTTCCTTCTCACAGGCTGACTGAACCAAGGGTCAGAGTTGGAGGAAAATTGAAGATGTCCTAAAATCCCATCAGACTTAGGAGAACAGAAGATAGGGTCCAGAACATTAACCATCTGACGCTTGTCCGTAGTAGTGGTTTCCAAGAAATGGGTACTGAACACCAACAAGGAGTGTTGACCAAATAGAAAAGAAGCCCTGTTTGAAAGTTGAGGTGTTGCTGCTACAGTCATGGTGCAGGATTAAGAGAATTTACTGGAGCCGGGCGTTGGTGGCGCACGCCTTTAATCCCAGCACTTGGGAGGCAGAGGCAGGCGGATCTCTGTGAGTTCAAGGCCAGCCTGGACTACCAAGCGAGTTCCAGGACAGCCTCCAAAGACACAGAGAAACCCTGTCTCGAAAAACCAAAAAAAAAAAAAAAAAGAGAATTTACTGTTCTTACCAAGGAAAGTTTCAATTTCCAGCAACCACTTGGTGGCTCACAAGCATCCTTAAGTTCAGTTTAAAGGGGTCTGGCACCTTCTGAATTCCACAGGAATAAAGCACAGTGAGCATGTATACAGTAGGAAAACATTTTATATAGAAAATAAAATATATACATCTGAAGTTTATATTAAGCAAAATGCTATTTGCCTGACATAAAAAACTTGGATCAAACTTGACAGGGAAATTCTTTACATAAACTCGACATAAGACTCAATTTTTTTATTAGCGTCCAAACCATTTAGTTGAAATAAGCAATTATTTGGAAGAAAACATTTGGGGGTATATTATAACCATATTAATGACTTTTTTTTCAGTCATTACATTTTGAAAGAGGCAGAGTCTAAATTATCATCTGCAAGATGAGGGCATTGTTCAAGAAAATGAATTTGTACCCTGGTATAAATAATTCATCTGTGAGGAAAAAGTGATTTTAGACTTCTTATACAACCAGAGCTGACAAAGTAAACATTGACCTATGGCTTAAACAATTTGTATGAAAAGGACCTCTAGTTACAATATGTAATAAAAGAAATTTAGGCCAAATTGGAAGGTTTTAAATAAAACACAAATATAGGTCAAATTTTACAAAGGGTAAAATAACACAACAAGTAAATAATGTACATATGCATAGGTATCATGAATATCATTTTAAATAAAGATTTATTTCTTTTTTTAGTTTTATTGAGACAGGGTTTCTCTGTGGGTTAGCAGTCTATCCTGGAACAATTTTCATTTTTGGAATAGTCTCTGGACTACATTGCAGATCTTACTTTACTAGAATTAGGAAAGCATGATAGAAACCTTTTTTAAATTAAGGAAATGACTACAATCTAAGAGGAAAACCTTGGATGTCAAAGACATAGATTCTAAGGTGAATATTGGTAAGACTTAAAGCAGGCTGAAGAGACCACCAGCTTGGTTCTTAAATTTTTCCCTTAGTTTAATTGGACAAGAGCAAAGCCTCAAAAAATGTCTTTAAGGAGGAGAGAACAGGTAGACAGGACACCAGTCCTAAATTTTAATGGGATCAGTAAAATTAATCTGAGAAATTAGAGGCATTAACTCCTCTTTTTCAATAGCTAGCAGTATAGACAATATTTGCATAGGATAAGCATACTTTTTTTTTTTTTTTTTTTGGTTTTTCGAGACAAGGTTTCTCTGTGGCTTTGGAGGCTGTCCTGGAACTCGCTCTGTAGACCAGGCTGGCCTCGAACTCAGAGATCCGCCTGCCTCTGCCTCCTGAGTGCTGGGATTAAAGGCGTGCGCCACCAATGCCCGGCTGCATACTTAGATTTTGAATGTGACTCTTGTAGCTCATACCATAATCTACAATCAGGAAAAATATACTATGATTAGTATTTTGCAAATCTCAAATTTATATAGAACGACAGATAATCACCAAAATCCCAAACCTCTGACGAATCCTCAGTCTGTCACCAATGGGACCAAGTTTCAAAAAGTCTATTGGACCATTTTCAAATGACACACTACAATTGTTTTCCAATCTAATACCTTAGACAAAGTAAAAACCAAAGAAAAAAACTATATAAACAAAAAACAAAACAAAACAGGCATTATTGCACATATTGTAATGATTTCATCCTTAATACAGTAAAATACTGGGACTTATAATTAAACTTCTGCAGTATAACAACGTGTCTTGCCTCATTAAAATACTGCATTTATTAGTTAAGTCTCCCCTATGGCAAACATAATATCATTTACTCATTTGTATTTCTGTGTGTGTATTCGTTTGGAAGTGTGGATGTGACTATCAGGAGACCTCTTTCAGAAAATGGTTCTTTGCTGCCACCATGTAAGATCCAGGAAGGTAACTGAAATAATCACATTTCTGGCAATAAAATATCACTAGCTGATGCATCTCATGCTCCACTCACATTCACCTCTCATACCTCACAATTGAAGCAATTTGACCAATCAGTGTCACACAGTTAACGGTGGGGCAAGTTCTACACGCCACGCTTTTCACTGTGAGATCATTATCCATAGTGGGGCACACAAAATCGGAAAGACTCTACTGAAAATGACAATCACTTAAAACTTCATTTATTAGAAACACTTTTAACAATTTCCCACTTTCATTTCAAACATAAAGACTTGCACCAGTGAAATAAATGTTTGGGCATAAGAGGAACTATTGCTGCTAAAACATTTTCCCCTGTAAGGCCGGTCTGTAGGATGGATTCTTGAGAACATGCTGGCAGCAGGAACTGGTGAAGGCTTTGGCACATTACTTAGATGCACTCTTGCATTAAACTTCTTTCCAAGGTCAATTCTTGCATGTGGGTCACAGAAACATTGATTGGTCAAGACTTTTCCACAATGCTGACATTGAAAAGGTTCCTCACACGTGTGAAATCTTTTATCCTTGAGGAATCACAAGAACAAAGAAATACTTTTCCAGATACTTACAAAGAAAGGCTTTCTCTCCAGTGTGTATGTTTTACTGATCTTGTGCCATTTGGAACTATGGAAGGCTTGTCCACAATGCTAACAAGCATTAGGCTGTTGACTAGAGTGAAGCATTTCATGTCTGCTATTATCACCAGAGTGCCTGAAAGCTTTTCTACACTGCTGAAAAGTTTAAGGTTTCTCTCAGGGAGACACCTTCCATGTCCATGGGGACTACTGGAGTCACTGAAGGCTTTTCAAAATGCTTACATGAATAATGCATGTCTTTTGAATGAACTTTCCCAAATGTTTTACACAAAAATTATTTCTTTCCAGTGATTTTTCACTCACGTTTAGATGTAAAAGGGGTAAAAGATTTTTCATAGTATTTACATACATAATGTTCCTATCTAGTATGATTCCTTTCATGTTTCTTATGATAATAGGACATGCTGAAGGCTTTCCCACAATGCCTGCATGAATAAGGCTTCTCTCCAGTGTGAACCCTTTCATGTAGCTTAAGACTATTGGGCAGGATGAAGGCTTTTCCACAATGCTTACAAACATGAGGCTTCTCTACAGTGTGCCTTCTTTCATGACCCTTATGACTACTGAGGTCACCGAAGGCTTTTCCACAATGCCTACAAGTATAAGGCTTCTCTCCAGTGTGAGTCCTTTCATGAGTCTTATGATTATTGGACTGGCTGAAGGCTTTTCCGCAATGTTTACAAGCATAAGGCTTCACTCCAGTGTGAATCCTTTCATGAACAGTCATATTACTGGAGGTGGTAAATGCTTTTCCACAATGCTTACAAACATAAGGCTTCTCTCCAGTGTGAATCCTTATATGTTTCTTCAGAACAGTGGAGGATGTAAAAGTTTTTTGACAATTCTTACAAGTATAAATCCTCCCTTTTGTACGTTTTGCATTTTTAAATGTTTTGCCACACTGCCTACCACTGTACCTTTCCTGTCCAATATGACTTTTTTCATGGTTGTTTAGGTCACTGGAATCAATGAAGGATTCATCACAGAGCTTACATACAAACTGTTTCACTTCTTTATGGATTCCTTCATCGTTCTGAACATGTGTGTGTCCCCTTAAGTCATTGTCATTGAGTGTAACTCCAGTGTGAGTTCCCTCCTGAGGCTGATCCAAACTGAGACTCCCACAGGGTTCATTATATTCTTGACTCTCACAGGGTTTCTCCTGAGAAGTTTCAAGTACTCCAGAATGATGGGTATTTTTCCAATGTTCCTGACGTATAAAAGCTTTTGCCATAGCTTTCTTCCATACAGACGGTGTCCCTGTGGTTTGGTCTCTGAGATAGCCATGTGAGGATGAATGACCAATGATGTTTCTTACATGCAGTGGGCTTTCACATCCTCTTTCTCCAGGATCCATGTCTTTATTGATGATATTCTCTGTAATCGGTTCCTGGTTTATATCACACTCATGATGCATGTCCACAATTTTTCTCAATGGCTTGAGTTCTGCAAAAAATGAGAAGACAATGGTGTAGTCAAGGGAAATGGTGGAGGCTGGCTTGTATACTATCCCAGGGGGAGCAGAAGAACAAAGTCACCGTGAATGACAATGTGGACCACATGTATTGACCCTGTTAAGTAGATTGTTAATGTCACTTCTATTAGCATTCTGAAGGAGTTGTGTCACAGATTTGGAGGTTAAAGAAACTTTTCCTTTTCAGTAGTGCAGATTTTGATAACCAGCACGCTTGTGGAGGGCACACCAATTCCTGTTACTTATGGTCTGAAGGTATCTTGCCTCTTTCTGCCTTCTAGAGCTGTTTTTAGCACAAGAGTTGTATACATGGATACACATATACAGGTACAAAATGATTTATATGCATGAAAGGATCACACATGAAGGCGAAAGTTGGGGTGTTAGTAGACAATCATTACAGTCACATAAAGTGGGGAAACACTGTGACATTTTGACATTCAGAATTCTATGCCAGTGTCAGTTGTCAGTTATCAACTGCATGCATCTAGGACCATCAGAGAATGGGTTCCCTCAAAGGAGAAAATGACTCAGACTGGCTTGTAAATGAGACTGAGGGAGCATTTTTACATTCCTCATTGGTGAAGGATGCTCACACTATGATGTACATTCTGGCCATGGGCAAGAGGGCATGAGCTGTATAGGTAATGTACCTGCAGTTACTTAGGCCAAGGTGACACAAACAGGGACATACATCTGAGAAGAGGGAACCCGAAAGGAGTCAGTGGGTTTGACAGGTTGACATTTAGGCTCAACTGTGAGGGCATCTTCTTGGTCAGTGACTGAGAAGACATAGTTCAGGCCCCTGTGTGTGGTATCCCCATAGACAGGCAGGCAAGAGTTATATGAGGCAGGGAGCACCCTGGTAAACAGCATTTCACCTCTGCATCAGTTCCTGCCTACAGGTTCCTGCCTGCCTTGAGTCCCTGTCCCGACTTCCCTTCATGAAGGGACTATGACAAGGATGTGTAAGTAAACATGAGCTCCACCCCAGAGTTTTTTTTTATAGTCATAGCAAATGAAAGCAAAACACAGCCCTTATTTCAGAGCCTCAAAATAATGTATAGAAAGACAGCAAATACTTTTGAAATTTGTGTGTAGTAAACCACTGATAAAGCTCTTTCAGGTTAATGTTACATGACACATTTGTAATCTTAATGTTACAGGAGATACTGAGCAGCAGAATTCAATGTTCTATTACAGAAATTTATGTAGAGATTATTATATTATGCAATAAAATATACAATAAAAATGTATTTTTGCAGGTCTAAGATAGTGGAAAGCAGGTCAAATGCTTGTCATGAAAAACTGGACAGTGTGTGCAAAAGTGAATACCTAATAATGGTGGGAGCATAAAAAGCTAAGATTGCCAGTTGTGGTGGCGCACACCGGTAGGATTTGCTGAAAAGCTAAGATTACCAGGCTAATCAGGTGAGCTTGCCACAGAAAAAGAAAACTGGAAATACCACCTCGTCAAGATACACCTCTCTGGACTTATACTAAAAACACTCCAAAGACTACAACAGATACATGCACTCATGGTCATTGGGCTGTAGTCCCAATAGCTGGAAAAAGACTCATCAGGTGATGTTCCACATGATGGAGATACAGAACATAAAAGCAGTGATTTGCACTAAGCAATGAAGAAAATTAAAATGAAATTTGCAGCAATGGATATAACTGGAAATGTAATGATACTGAATAGAGTAACTAAGCCCACAAAGTCAAACACTGTCTTTTTCTCTTATACCTGGATTCTATCCTTCTTGCCCATTTGTTTCAAAAGCACAGTGAGTACGTAAACAGACCGCAGTGAAGAAAGGACCCATGAGAGCTATATGTATTGAGGAGTGGATGTGCAGGGACAGTAGAATACATGTGGCATCCAAGCAGACAGGTAAGTGTACTTAGAGGTGGAATGTATAAAATGGGAGTGGGAAAGAGAATACAGGGGGTGGTTGGATTATCAAGGTTCGGGGTTTCCTCAACTCTACCATGATTTCCGGGTCAGCCTGAAACAAAAGCGTCCCTATATCAAAAACAAAAAACAAAAATCTGGGCAAGGTCATGGGAACCTTCAATCCTAGAATTCATGAGGGAAGGAGGATGACATCTGAGTCCAGGGCTGGCCTACTAAATACTGCAAGCTCCAAGGCTACATGAGAAAACTTGTCACCAAACAATAGAAGATGTAATAATAATTTAAATATTAAATGTGTATTAAAATCAAAATTATACACACAATTAATAAATCCATGACTCTATTGTATACACATGTCCATTTTCAAATTAAAAGAAAAATTTTACCCACAAGTAGAAGCCATACTTTACTTCCAAATTTTTTGGAATAATCAGAAATTACACTACAAACAAGCTACCAGGGGAGAGGGACCTGGACTGAAAAATCAGAAGGCTAAGGGAAAGAGGTAATGTTGGCATTTTTTCAAAGAAATTATGGTTGACAGAATTGACAGTCCCAATCCTTTATGGTTAAAGCAGCCCACAACCAACCAAGCAGCAGAAAGAAATATTACAATTCTATGAAGCTATTTGATAGTCTCGAAAGCCTTAAGATACAGTTTCCATTTTCAATTTCTCCACCTCCCTCTACACAAGAAATCACTGCAAAAAAATGTGAAGAACATTAAGTCTCTCTTTCTCCAGACTGGTAATTTTTAGCTACTGCAGTCAGGAGAAGCAGAAGAAGAAAGGTTGCACATATCCCTTCAACAAAATGAAAAGAATGGGAGGGAAGGAGGAAAGAAGGGAGAGAGGGAGCAAGGGACGGAAGGATGATGGACACCTTGATACATACAAAGCAGGAAGATGGGCTGGAGAGGTGGCTCAGAGGTTAAGAGCACTGACTGCTCTTCCAGAGGTCCGGAGTTCAATTCCCAGCAACCACAGGATGGCTCACAACCATCTATAGTGAGATCTGGTGCCCTCTGCTGGCCTGCAGGCATACATTCAAACACAACAGTGTACACATAATAAATTGCGTAACAAATAAACCTTTAAAAAAAAAGCAGGAGCCGGGCGTTGGTGGTGCACGCCTTTAATCCCAGCACTCGGGAGGCAGAGGCAGGCGGATCTTTGTGAGTTCGAGATCAGCCTGGTCTATAAGAGCTAGTTCCAGGACAGCCTCCAAAGCCACAGAGAAACCCTGTCTCGAAAAACCAAAAAAAAAAGAAAAAAAAAAAAGGAAAAAAAAAAAAGCAGGAAAGACCAGTGTTCCTTGACTCCTGTGCCCATGGGTTGTGTGTCAGTGACAATGGTGACACTACATCAGTGTGGTCTTGATGTCATATGCAGTGTGCCCTGGTGTCCTGCACTGGCATCATTCTTCCCAGAGCACCGGAAGGAATGGTGGGCAAGGCAGTCAGCTGTGCACAAGGCCTCGGGCTCTGTTCTGTGCCAGGGAAACTACTTTGTCTTGGGGGGAAAAGGCACCAGGAACTGGCACCTGTGCTGAACTTGGCAGTACTGCCGGGTGGGCAACACTGAGTCCAGACTGTGGTGTGAAGGCACCTGGGTGGTGTGCTGTCTCGATGGTCACCTTACAGGTAGGTCTGTGCTGCTTTAGATTTTTTCCTCCCATTACCTTACTTTTCTAACTATAATAAACGTACCCTAAGCCAGGCCTGGCAAAAGTAAACAAAGGCTTTTTCATTAAGATACACCCCAATTCCCGACTCCTCATCATGTATGCATGTGTATGTATGTGTGTATACTGGGTTTTCCCCCTTTTTTATATCATGATGGGAGAGGACCTGATTGGTGCTTCTGTAAGAGGGGATTAAAATTCTCAGTCAAAGAAACCACTTGGATGTTTTTTGCACAGACCATTTCTGATGTAAAAGTTGGGGTTTTTGAAAAGTTGTACCAGACTCGTCCTTGGTGATCCCTGTGAAGGGCATCATGTTCCTGGGATTAGATTGTTGCTTGTTCTGTTGATTTATTCTAGGCTGCTTCTTTAAGGAGAAGAAATTGCATAAGGGAGTGCTCATGCAGCACTTAATGTTTTCTTCTAATGAACTATGGATGAAAAAAGTCAGTATTTTCAGTAGTGTTAGAAGCCATGGATTCACTGTACCTAAGAGTACCAGTTTAGTCAGGGTTTATGTGGAAAATGGGAGGCAAATAGTCCATAAGATGGTGATTACTCCACCATTAGAGAGAACAGGCTATGGAGGCATATTTGACATAAAGGACAGGGTCCCTGAGCCATCAACTGTAAATACCTTATTAGTCTAGAAAGCTGAGATATCAGAAATTGTCACAAGAAAGTCGCTCATATCAGACAGACATTAACTTGAAAGTTTGTCTTACTCCAGGAATGGTCTGATTTCTAAGGGCAGTGATGCAGTTATCCTAACATGGACTGACACCTACTGACTCTTAACGGTTTGATGATTTGAGACAGATGAAATCTTAAAGAGAAAAGAAATCATCATTTCCTGAGGTGTAAACGTCTGCAATCGGGGGCTTACATTGTGGACTTGGAGTGGAGCTGGTAGACAGTAGTTGAGACTGGGAAGGGTGGCTTGGTGTCCTTCAGGCTGCAGGTCCAGGAACTGCAAATCAAAAACAACTCTGAGATACCATCTTGCTCCTGTCAGAATGGCTAAAATCAAAAACACCAATGACAATATATACTGGAGAGGATGTGGAGAAAGTGGAACACTCCTCCAGTGCTGGTAGGAGTGAACTTGTACAGCCACTTTGGAAATCAGTATGGCAGATCCTCAGGAAAATGGGAATTAATCTTCCAAGATTCAGCAATTCCTCTCTTAGGCAAATATCCAAAAGCTGCACATTCATACAGCAAGAACACCTATTCAACTATGTTCATAGCAGCATTATTTGCAATCGCCAGATCCTGAAAACATCCTAGATGCCCCTCAACTGGAGAATGCATAAAGAACATGTGTACACTTATGTAA